CTCTCCTTCTCTCCTTTCTCCTCCTCCACTATCTCCTCCTCCAGCTCCACCCCCTTCTCCTCCTCCTTTTGCTCCTCCCCCTGCTTCTCCTCCTCCTCCTCCTCCAGCTCCTTCTCCTACTCTTCCTCCTCCTCTACCTCCTTTTCCTATCCATTATGTGGCTGTTGGGAATTGGAGATATCACACCAAATGTTTAAATACCTCTCCAGTGTCATACAGTCGTTCGCCACCACAATTGCACCACCTACATCATCAACATCATGTCAGCCAGCTGTGTCTCAACACTACCTGAGTGCCACTTCAAGTTGTGACTCAATGGTTCTCCAGTGTGTTTGAATGCTTTCCAAAAGGTGCCAATTGTGCTGCTGAGAACAAGAATGTCTTCATGCTTGCCTTCCTCAGCCTGGATATGTTCCAAGAGGTCTACCTGAGCTTTCTGTTGGTTGGGCATACACATGAAGACATCAACCAGCTCTTCTCCACTGCTTGGACAAAGTTCCATACCTCTTCCATTCACACCCCAAGGTAATGGTCATCACTCTTTTTTTGTGTTGATTGTTTCCCCAATGTGCATTGGGTTTTTTATTTGTTGACTCATTACCTGATGTGCATTGGTTTTTTCTGTCAGCATTAATGATTGTCCCTTTTTGTTCACCTTCCTAACTTCATCTTCAAATTTCAGTCAACTTTCAGGTTTTCTTGAGCAGGCTTACCAATCCACCAGCCCAGCTCCTTCCCTGCATACCCTTGAAACTGTTTGGGACTGGAAGAGCTGGCTTGGAAATCACATGCATGGCCTGACTGGTCACTCCACCCCCCATGTTTTCCATTTTTTCTGTGATGCTTCAGGCAAACCAGTGATCCAGGACAAAGCCTACCACACCCAAGGAGCCTACTCTGAGCTACCAGCTTCTCACATCCATTCCAACTGGTTTGCTCCCCTTCCTCCTCACTAAGTTGCACACACCCTACCAAAAGATATCACAACTTACACAAACCATATCAGGAGCACCTTTCACTATCCCTCCTCAGCAATTTCCGCCTGAAGTGCTTACTGAGTTGGCTGACAACTGCCATGCTCCACTGTTCCTTGAGTCTGAGCTTAGTGAGTGGGCTGATATCTTTGAAGCACATGAGGCTCTTGTTTCAAGCTCCCAACCCACCTGCAATAACTTGATTTTTGATGGACTCACAGCTCACCCCATCACTAATCCTCTCCTTGATGGTCCATTGTTCCATCTCCAAACCAGGGTCAAGGTTGTCCACACACAGACTACACCCCAAGATCATCAGTGTTCTCTGTAAGAGGCTCCATGTCCACTGGTGGAACTTCACTAATGGACACTGGACTGACCATGGCTCAGAAAGCACTGTTCCAATGGGGTCTGTTTTAGCTTGTGGCTTTGACTTTAACGCCAACACTGGAGTTCCCCCACCCACCCTTCAAGAAATATTTAGACACCTGTAAATAAAACTTCTCTTCTCTGTGTACATTCAAATTTATAGGGCAGTTTGGAAGATTTGGATCTGCACATGTGATTTTGACATGCTAGACTGCTGCATATAAGTGATATTGAGAGACTTGAGATGAAAATGATTTCATAAAAACTTGGAATTTGTGGAGTTAAATGTGATTTTATCAGTGTGGAATGGAGTGGAATTTTAACTTCAGGAATAGTGCTCCAATTCAGCGCAAATGTGAAGAATGAAGTTCAGTGCATGTGTGCAACTGACTGAATATGGTGTGAGGTTGCACATGAACTGGATGTGAGGGCAGCATGTTGGCCACTGATTATGGAATTGATGGAGGGTATGAAAGCAAAAGCAAGGTGCAGTTTGAGGGTGTTCAGAGGAGCACTTACACAAAGCAAAAGTTCAGATTTTCCAGATCATGTATGTGTACATGATAAACTAAGTATTGGTAGGTCAAACATGTAGTCATTGTGTATGTGTATGTGATAAAGTATGTGTCTGGTTTTACAGTTTTTGTTGTTGTGTATGCATAGGTGCAAGTCACCCTGCCATCAGCCATGGCCAACAACAAGGAACTGTTGAAGCTCCTGAAGGTAACTGCCCCATTGCATACATGCTATTTTCAAAGCCCATTTACATGTACATGATAGAATGTTTGCTAAGTTATCTCCTCCTTGCCCCACAGATCATGTGAAGATGAATGCTGCAACAATTTAATATCAAGTGAATGACAAAGAGCAGCTCCAGGCCACCCTCATAGTGAGCAGCCACCTCCTCAGGAGGCCAAGAAGGAAGAGATGAAGGGCACTCTCCACACTGAGATGTGACAAACAGCCCCTCGGAATTGCTTGTGTAAAGAATAAAAATTGACTTTTTGTCCAGTTAAATCCCAGCAGCTGTGATTTTTCCTTTTATGGTTCTGTGTGCCAACCGTTCAGGAAAGTACCGAACAAAATGTGCGTAGTCATCACGTACGCGTAGGCGATAAAGTAAGTGTACCAAAACATGTACATGATAGAAATTGGTCATTCCAGACCTTGACTGATGGCCCAGTTACAGCATCATATCTCTCATTTTGATGGTATTTTAATCTGCC